CCAACCTTGATGGGACACCATGTCTCTGTCCCAGTTCAGACAGGCCAGTGGTAGATGGCACATTTCTCCCTGTCACAGCCCACCGTCCTGTCTCCTGTTCAGCAGACTTTCATTGGCTAATCAGTCAACATCCAAGTTTAATGATCGATCAGCTCCGTTTAACCGTCAACTACTTTATCCAGAAGTCCATCAGTTAAACCCATCAAACTGTGTTTTGTGTTCCCTACCTGATCCAAACAGTGATGCTGTCCTGCCCAATGAAAACAACAGACTCCAGTCACACCATCTCCTCTGCTATTGATGTTCTCATATAAACAGTGACTGTGGCTCTGTGCCACACACACACTGTGCTGAGCCAGTGTGTGACACCATGCCTATTGTTTGATGCTCCCTGGCCTCCCTCTCCCAGACCATTCTGGAAAAATGTTCGCTCACAAACACACACACACACCCACACCCACACACACACACACACACACACACACACACACACACACACACACAGCAAGATATCTCAACAAACACTATGCAGTTTGTTATGGGAACTAAAGTGTGCAGTCATGTTCTCCAAAATTCAACATTTGGACCGTGGACTGACCGTGGACTAGAAACAAAAACACATTAGTGATAGGTTGGTGTTTCTAATCAATGCTTTGGCAGTCCTTTATGAATGGACAGTCCACAGCAAGTGTTGCTGTGTTAGCAGCAGAGGTTGGACAGAGGAGGCTAAGACATACAGAAGCACTTCCTCTGTGTCCAACCAAGGAGACGTTCACAACAACCTTCATTTATAAAAGGGCCTGTCTGCACTTAGACAGGTTGTGGATGATATAGTTGCAAAAATGACTCGGCTGCTAAAATACACTGATTGTTTGTATCAATAACTATGCGGAAAAATGGTGCCAACAAAGACAGGAAATAACACTACACTTCATTTTTAAAGGCACAGGAGCAGAGGTAGTGAAGCTGGTTTGAGCCCATCGCCCTCAGAAACACAGCAAGCCACTCAGACACACAATGTCACAACTAACAACTGGACTGTCCACACGTCTGACAACAAACTACTGTAGTGCTGCTCTCCCTGAGATACAAACTGTGACGTAAACCGATATGAATGGATAATTCCTGTGTAATGTATTTATTGACATAGATTTTCCATTGACAGCTCAAGTTACTCTTTTCTCAGTTCTCAATTTTGACTTAACCTGTTTTGTGGCATATATAAATATTGACTAAGAAGTAAAAAGGCATCATGGTAAAAGTGTTCACAAAAATATTAAATGCATTTCTTTACTCACTAAAGGCTCTAAGAATACCTGTATGTTACCAGGTTGTTTGTTATGTCCACTAGAAGCACTTTGTGGAGTATGTGTGTGTGTGTGTGTGTGTGTGTGTGTTTGTGTGTGAACATGCACCCCTAGGAAATCTGGACCTGTGGATCTCTGTCATGTAAGGAATGTCAAATCCAGACAGGCCGAACGGGATCCAAGAAAAAACACCCACATTCACACTTACACACCCACCCTGAAAAATAATGAAACTGCTGAAAACAGCAATTTTTTTTGCGTTATAATTAACCACATAAGAATTCAGCAGAGTCAAAATTGAGAAATCCTTTTGCTAAACCTATCGATTTAAATCTAATTGCAAGGCTGCTGAAACACAGCAGCAGTAGTACTGAGGTTTAAAACTTTTCCTTTCATAGCAGTTTTTACGGTTTTTGCATGGAGCAACTAATTTCAGTTGAGCTACAAAAAGGTATAAGGCAGAAAGTGCAGGTATGCACAGCATATTCTTCAACACTAAATATGCATTCCATGTGTGTAATATCTTGTTTCAGATCACAACTACAATTCATCCTTGAAATGTAATATACATATTTCAAACTGAAGAAAAACACTCTGACAATGATTAAGTTTTAAAGTTATACAGAATCGAAATGTAACAGCTTTAAAGTGAGTCAGAAAACTTTATGTCAAACAAATGCCAGTTACTGTAAACCTTAGGTAGAAAAAAATAAAATATAAATTGTAACTGCAGCTTGTAAAATAATTAATATTCTTGCATATCTACCATCACCCACACACACCTGCCTGTGGTCCTCCAGTGTCCATTGGCTGATATTAAATGTAAGCTTTTAAGTGGTTGCCAAATTTAAGTCTCTACTTATTACTGATACAATATACCACAGTAAGGGTAAGAAGTAATCAAAAGTAATCTTATCAGATTAAGTCAGGGAACAGACATACTGAACATCATTGACTTAATCTTATGCCCAAAATTCAAAACATACAGTATTAAAGTACGGTACAGAGTGCATGAACAGCTGGTGCTCCACATTTACAGAGAGGCCTGCACGATTCACATATTTGACCTGAAAGACTCATCAATTGTACCATGAAAACAACACTCATCCAGCCTGTCAAACACATGAAGAGTAGATGAGTTATAAAATATCAGACCAGCTGTGCCTGTTTGGTTTGGTATCTTGCATCTAATTTCAGTCTTTTATTTTTATTTGTAGATTAATTAAATATGATTATGGTGTAAAAATGAGGTATTATTGTTTGTATTTTAGAGTTAATGATAAATAACAAGGTACATTCGTCTCCAGTCTAGAACTTCAAGAGA